AGTAAACAAGCCACTTTACCTTGAATGGTCCCTTACAATATGTGCTAACTACTTATGCTAAACAATCTGTTCCACCTTGCATTTTGCTGTGAGGCTGGCAGTTCCTTTCCCAGACCTGAAGAACAGCTCTGTGGCGCTCAAAAACTTGTCTCTGTCATCAACAGAAGTTGGTCCAATAAAAGATATTACCTCACCCACCTGGTCTCTCTACATAGATTAACATTCAATCATTTTAAATAACTAAAAGTTGGTGCTCATAAGTTCTTTTACTCATCTTTTATAATTCAGTGTCAGAATTAGAATCTTCTTTTCACTGCAGTTTTCTTTTTACATGTTTATTCTTGTAAAGTGTGTTATTTTAAGAGGATTATTAGAATTCAGGGTTGCTAAATTTCAAATTTACCCCTTTGGAATATTGTATTATTTTTAAATTGGATTTTCACTTTACTGCACTGCTGTTACATTTGCTAACCAGGCCCACATGTTCTTTATTTTCAGAACTCTGTGATACTCTGTTATTTTTATTTTGGTAACCTCATCTTTAGAAAAGTTAAACTGAAAAGCCATGACCCTGAAAGCCACTCTGCGAGGGGGAGTCCTGCACTCATCCCGTGCCCTGAAGGGGCTTAACAGTTTGAGGGGTCAGTGGGATAAGTGTGCAAAAACTAAACACAATACACTGCGATGGGAGTAGGGAGGAAGTCAGAGAAACCGAGCGACAAGTGGTAGCTAAGTGGTAGGTTGGAGAACAGGGTAAGAAAGGCTATGGGCTGCACACAGTGATGGGTGCCTGGCAGTCGGAAACCAACAGTGCTGGGCAATGGAGACCCTGCATTAACCCATCAACCTTATGGCTGCCCCAATACCGTCCACCAGCTACCCCACATCAGCTCTCATCAGTGCACAGACACCCGCCCTATCCCTGCCCCCAACACCTGCAACTCTGACCCTGTGCCACCCCATCAGCACCTGACACCAGTTCTATTCCTGTCCCAGCAACACCCCACAGCACCCTGGCTCCAGCCCTGCCCCAATGACACCCCCAGCATCCCAGCCTCACTGAAGTGACTTCCCGCAGCACCCCAGTGACACCCTATAGCACCCCAGCAACACCCTACAGCCTCAGCCCCATCCCTGCTTCACTGGCACCTTGCAGAGCCTCAGACTCACCCCAGTGCCCCATCCCTGCCAGCGGCCCGACTGTATTAATCCTATAACCCCACAGTTCTCATAGTCCCATTCCTGCCCCACTGACATCCTGCATTGCCCAGCCCCACCCATGCCACCCCACAGCACTCACAGCCCCAGTCCTGCCCCAATCAGGGCCGGCTCCAGGCACCAGCCTGGCAAGCAGGCGCTTGGGGCGGCGGCACGTCCAGCTATTCGGCGGCAATTTGGCGGACAGTCCCTCACTCCCACTCGGAGTGAAGGACCTCCCGACGAATTGCCGCCGCAGATCGCGATCGCAGCTTTTTTTTTTTTTTTTTGGCTGCTTGGGGCGGCCAAAACCCTGGAGCCGGCCCTGGCCCCAATGACACCCAGCATCGCCCCAGTGGCCCCCCACCGCACTCACAGCCACATTCCTGCCCCACTGACATCCTGCATTGCCCAGCCCCACCCATGCCACCCCACAGCACTCACAGCCCCAGTCCTGCCCCAATCAGGGCCGGCTCCAGGGTTTTGCCTGGCAAGCAGGCGCTTGGGGCGGG